GCTTGGCCACGCCATGGGTGGCCTCCTGGTCTTGTGAGCCGTGGGCCCCTGCGATGTGCCTATCCCGTGTGCTCCGGCGTGCTTTGCGTCCCCTGCGTCTTGTGAGCAGCACTGTCCAGGGGTACCTGGGGACAGGCCCCGAGCTGACCCCACACGCCTTGGTCCTGGCCTCTGCCTTCTCATCCTGACTCCCTGCTGCACCCAGAACTTTGCAGGAGCCTGTGAGCAGGTGACAGAGCAGACCCGCCCCCTCTAGTGGGGACAGATGCCATAGATGTGTGCCAGGTGGCATTGTGGGAAGTGGGGAGGGACAGGGGACTGCTGGGAGCAAGGTGGTCAGGGGAGGCCTCTGGGGGCATTTGAGCCAGTTCTTGGGTGAAACAAAGGAACAAACCCTGCAGGGTCTTGGGCAGAGCTTCCCAGATGGAGGGCACGGCCATGCAAAGGCCCTGGGGCAGGCCTGCGCTTGGCATGTTGGAGGCACAGCAAGGCAGCCCTTGTGGCTGGAGCAGACTGAGGAGGGGGCTGGAGAGGAGGAGGGAGGGTGGGAGAGGAGGGCTACAGCCGGGGCGGGACATGTGGGCTCTGGTGAGGTAAATAGGCGTGACCTGGGCCTTCAGGCCGGTGTGGGGCTGAGGGAGACCCTTGGGCTGGGTGAGGCCTTCAGGCTCCGTTTCCAATCATCCCTCCCCCATGCCCTCCCCCGCCTGCCGCCCGCCTTGTTCCTCAGGCTGTGGGCACTGCCCTTGCGCAGAACCCCCTGGAGGGCGAGGAGGGCTCCCGTCACGCCTGCAGTGCCTAGGGTTCGGCTCTGCAAGGGTGGGCCACCCACAGCACCCAGCAGGGGCCTGCCACGATCAAGGGTGCCTGCCACGGTCAAGGGTACCCGCCCACCCGCATGTTCCTCCTGGGCCATCCCGGCAGCGCCATGGCGTCACCCAGCCATGCTGTCTCCTCCCTCCCTCCGACCGCCTGCTTTGGGTCTGATGGTGGAGTCCACGCTGGCGCGGCCTCTGCGGCCCATCGTGGGTGGGATTGGGCCCGTTTAACCATTCTCTGCCTCAATTTCCACATCAAACACATGGAGACACAGCTCCTGCTGGTGCTCACGTGCACACAGAGGAGTGGGTGTCGGTCTGTCCGTTGGCCCTGCGGGAGCCCCTGTTATTACCGGAAGGACCCGGAACACAACTGAAGGCCAGGGGGCCGCGCGTCGGGGGACTCGGGCTGAGGCAGAGGCCAGGTGCAGACCGGGGGCCGCTGGACGAGTCGGGGCTCGTGTGTGCTGGGCCTCAGGCCTGCTTTATGGATACAGAGGCTGAGGCTTCAAGAAGCCCCGATGCCTGAAGAAGTGAGGGTGGCCCGTAGGGTCCATGCAGGAGGCGATCGGCACCCCTGGGTCCTGTGGCAGGCAGGGAGAGAGTGGCTCCTCGGCTTGCCCCGAGGACACCCTCCCAGAGCAGGGCAGGGACTTGCCCAACGTCACACAGCACCTGGGCGATGGGCGTTTGGAGGCTGAGCAAGGGGTCGTGGCTTCACCCCGGGCATCTGGGCCACCCTGGCCGGCCCCTCCCCGACACAACACGCCTCCTCCCCGACTATTTTTAAAACTTAATTTCCTCGAAAACGGGGCAGCTCATCCAGAGAATAATTAGTCATGTCTGGGGCTGGCAGGCTCGCCACCGTGAAGCCTGTTGGCCTCACGTCCAGGCTCTGCCCGCG